TCTTTCTTCATCCATTCTCTCGTAGTAACTAGGTATTCTTTAAGCTCCCCGCTCTTCCAAAGACTGAGGTTGTCGGCTAGTAGTTTTTTCTGGTACTCAGTGAGAGAAGGTTTCACTTCTCCCCACTGTAAGTCTTGTAGCCATTGTGACCTGTCACCATTCCTGACTCTATCAATCTCAAGCAGGAGACGTCTTAACCAAAGACCTTGTCGATGGTGATGAATCTCATCAGATATTTCATCAAAGCTATCCCTGCTCCAGCTGTCTTCTCTTCTCGACTCCTTCAACTGGAGATCTCTTATCAGTCCTTCAGTACAAAAAGATGTCTTAAAGATAAGAGGACCAGATAAAACAGATAATGGAGTGGGAACAGGTGCACTTGGAGGAAGATTGGCTGAGGCTGTCGAAGAGAGAGGAGGAGGTTGAGTAGAAGACTGAGGTGTGTTAGTGGGCAGTTCGTTATCAGTTATACAGAGTCCACTATACAGTATTACTATATCAGTGTTCCTCCATTGTTCCGTACAGCTGGTCACTATATTGCCCCAAGTCTCTTCGTCGGTCGTCTCACTTTCTGGAAAAACCAAGACGAGCTGGGTATCCATGGAGACGAATATGTTACAAACACGATACAGGTATTCATTTTTAGAGCGACTAGGGGAGTGACGAACTGGCCAGAAAAATGGTTGGAGGGCAGCGGACTTGTAATTGAATTTCTCTACAGTGTGGACAGCCCTCGCTGCATATTCTGCTGAGGGTGTAAACCACAGGAACGTCCTCTTAACCGGTAAAGGAAGATGGCGGGGGAGAGAGGTACATCTTAAGCAGTCCAGAAGCTGGAGGGCTGGGTTTAGAGGTAGTCTCTCTTTTAATATTTCTAAAATTTGGTCTACTTTTTGTAAACTTTCGGCTTTGGTTTCAACCGTTTCTTTGTCTAATTTGTTGAGCAGTTCACCAGAAGAGCGAGTTATGAGTAGATGGCAAATAACAAGAGGGTCGATATTGTGAGCGATGGATTCAATTGCTTGCTCATTGTAAAAAATCTTATCACGAGCTTCCTAAAATATTAGCGGGATCAATTATAGAGTCTTTAAATGAAACAGAAACTTACTTCTTCAGGAGTATCGTGTTCTTGTAAGCTCATGATCCTTTTTTGCTGTCAGCAACAGTCAGCAAAAAAATCTGAATGTAGCCCCTCCCTTGTTGCATGAGCCACACCCTTCAAGGTAGGAGGGGCTAGTTATTACTCTACACGTGCTTGAACTGCACGTTAGGAAGGTACTGTAGAAAGGGGTAGGTGAGGAACAAAGATCCATTTGAATCTCCTCTGCTAGAGGTCTGTCATAATGGTGAGCGTGAGAGAGAGAGAATAATGGCTGCATATGATGATTTAGTATCTATAGTGTATTAATAGGGTTTTGTATTGTTGCCTTTGACAGGGTTTTTTTAAAGTCATTAAGGACAAATCATATTTTAAGAGATATCAAGTCAAGTACAGGAGAAGAAGAGGTACATTAAATTAGAAGCAAATGACTACTAACATATTTATAATAAATACATATTTAAATCAATACATAGATGTATGTACAAATTGTGCATGTGTAATGTGTATTATTATTATTAATTTTTAGAGGGTAAGACTGATTACTATGCTCGTAAACGGCTCATAATTCAGGACAAGAACAAGTACAATGCTCCGAAATATCGACTGGTCGTTCGTCTCACAAACACTGACATTATCTGTCAGATTGTTAACGCTAAGATCGACGGAGACGTCACCCTAGCAGCTGCTTATGCTCATGAACTACCACGCTATGGTATCAAAGTGGGACTGAAGAACTATTCAGCTGCTTATTGTACTGGATTACTGCTAGCAAGAAGAGTAAGAGAGAGAGGGAGAGGGAGTGGGAGAGGGGGAGAGAGAGAGAGTAAGAGAGAGAGAGGGAGGGAGGGATGTGATGTCTTGTTGTATAATGGCCGGTGATGTAAACTTATACTTGCTACTCTTGATCTTGTTAAGTGATGATTGTATACCACCAAGATCTCTGAGGCCATTCTATCATAATACCGGCACAGCTGGTAATTTGTATTGAGGGGGAAATTTTGATAAATTGAATACATTATGTTCATGTTCAATGGTATGTGGCGATAAATTTGCCAAATTAAAATTCGCCAGTCACTGAAAATTTTGCAATTGTCAAAATTTCTCCTTCAAAATTATTAGCTATGTACTGGTATAATAGTGTAAAATAAAGCATTTTGTATTCTTTTTTTCCTTCACTGCCCCAGGTGTTAACTAAATTGAATCTTGCCGATAAGTATGAGGGTAATGATGACATCAATGGTGAGGACTACAATGTCATGTCCATGGGGGAGAGCCCACGTCCTCTCCGCTGTTACCTTGACATTGGTCTCGTCCGTACGACCACTGGCCAGAGAGTGTTTGCTGCACTTAAAGGAGCAACTGAT